CCAGCCAAAGGAATGTCCTCAAGGGCATACCCTACTTTGGTAAATGGCTGGCCATGCAGTGAATCAGCAGTTTACTTTTTTATCCCCCCCTCAAAGTTCATTTTTTTTCTTTCTCCCATGAAAGAGAAACAGAAAACGAGGGAGACAGAGAGAAAAAAAACAAGCACCCTCAACATGTTGAGATCTCATGCCGAGATCCCTCCCCTCCTTACCACAAGTCTTTCAGCCAATAAAAATCATGGGTATACATGTGCACCTGGTGAACCGAATCCCAGCCTCCCCTATGGCTTCACCATAGTAGAACACTGCGTTACTGCCGTGCCTGTGGCTGGGCCCTAGGAAGCAGTTTACTTTCAAGCACCAGTCACAACCATAGGAATCACTAGGCCTACAGCTATGTAAGACAGGGACAAACCAAGCCAGGCCAAAAGTCAGTTATTTCATCTGTTTTTCTTTTAAGCTTTCAAAATCATGGACAACAGTCAAGAAACAGAAAAGTAGATTTAAAAAAAAAAATTGCATTTGGCTGTATGCTATTCGTATGTCATTACTAACCCAGTCTAATGGCTGGGCCCTAGGAAGCAGTTTACTTTCAAGCACCAGTCACAACCATAGGAATCACTAGGCCTACAGCTATGTAAGACAGGGACAAACCAAGCCAGGCCAAAAGTCAGTTATTTCATCTGTTTTTCTTTTAAGCTTTCAAAATCATGGACAACAGTCAAGAAACAGAAAAGTAGATTTAAAAAAAAAAAATTGCATTTGGCTGTATGCTATTCGTATGTCATTACTAACCCAGTCTAAAACACGGAATATTGCAGAGTACCCACATACCCCCAGAAGCCTTCCAGGTTCTTTCCCCTCCTTCTCTTAGAGGTAACCACTATTCAGATACCTGGTTGTTACACTGGTAAGTTTCCTGTTTATACACATCTTAGCAACAGAGTTTAGTTTTGTCTGTTTTTATACCTTACATAAATGGATTAGGATTACTAAGTGTCCTTCTGTATTTCTTTCTCTCAGCAGTATGTCTGCAGGATACATGCATATTATTCTGTATAGCTCTAGTTCATTTTCCTCATTGCTGTATAATATTTCAACATGATTATACTACAATTTATTCATCCATTCTACTGATAGAGAACATTTTACACATAGAAATAGATACCTACTTACATATATTAAAACACACACATGAGAGAGAGAGAGAGAGAGGGAGAGAGGAGCTAAACTCAGCTTTAAAAAGAACTTAAGGAAAGTAATTTCATTGCATCTCTTGGCAATCAATTTTAATGTTAACTAATTCTTATGCAGCCATGAGGAAAATTCATTAAATTTCTAGATCTTTCCATAAACTTTTACTCATATTCACCAAATCTAAACTATTATATTAAATGTATTTTACTCTGTTAAAAATTAGGTTAAAACTTTTTTGTAGTTTCACCAGAGGGTGTATGCACTCACCAGAAACAGAGAGAGAAAGAGGAAAAACAGAAATTAGTTACACAGCAATCCTTTTCCCTCCATTTTGGGATTTGAGACATTGATGTACACACACCTGGTATGTTTTTCAAGCTACTGGGTCCAGGACCCTACCCATGTGGTTGGCCATATGGTATCCAACTATCTTAACCACCACACTAGCAGTTGGCCCAATTTGGAAATTTCTAATAAATGTATTGAAGTTGATTCTCTCAAATCTCTCTCTCTCTCTTTTATTCATACACACACACACACACTTTTTTTTTTTTGAGAGGTTTTTGCTATAGGGCGCGTGCACTTGCCATACAGACAGAGGCAGACAGAGAGATAGCGAGAAACCCCCCCCCAGGGGGGATGGCCACACTGCAATCCCTTCTCCTCCATTCTCCTCTCAGGATATTGAGCACATACGCACACGTGCCCAACGTTGAGTTTAAGCCACCAGGTCTGGGACTTGAACGATGGTTGACTACATGGGAGTTCAGTGACATAGTCATTACGCTAACTGCTGGTCCCTACACACACACTTTTTAAAAAAGGTTTTTGCCTTAAGTGTGTGCCTGTGGGGAGTGGGGACAGGAGGGAGAGAGAGACAGAGACTGAGACAGTGGGAGGGAAAGTGAGAAATCACTCCCCCGGCCTCCCCAGGGACAATGGCCATGCCACAATCACTTCTCCTCAATTCTCCTTCCAAGATCTTGGATGCACACTCTTGGTTTGATTTTTCAAGCGACCAGGTCCAGGACTCAAACCGTAGTCAGTCGTGGGGGAGTCCAGCAACATAACCACTACGCCACCTGCTGCCCCCCATGCATTATTTTTAACATATACTAATTACATGTTTCCTTTTTAAGAGGACCAATATTGTGTATACTGAGAGAAAAAATATTCAAATTTTAAAGCAGTCTTGCACCAAAAGGATTGTGTGTTAACACTGATCTGTCCTGGGAAGCCAAAAATGTTAATTCTGTAGCCAAACTAGGGAGTATAAGTACAAATAATAGAGATTAACTCCAAATTTAGAGTCACCCATGTTTACATTGCTATCGTGAGTGTTCTCCAAATAGAGTGCAGAAACAGGACATAGATAACAGTAGGTAGCACCAGCAAAATCTGCTTATCGGTCTGCTAGTGTCTTAGTGATAACAAACATACTTAACATTTGTTACCGTGCCAGGCACTTTCCACATATAAACTCACATATGCAATACTCTACATACATTCGTCTGTTTTATTCTCAGAACCTGACAAAATTGGTATGGTTACTTTTTCCATTCTACAAGAAGAAACTTAGGGACAGAGAGAGGAAGTAACTTGACCAGTGTCCCAGGAGCTGAGAGGGGATTCAAAACTACGCCTCCTAAAGTCTTAATCTAAATCCCACTCTACTTCCTTGCAAAATGTTAGTGTTGGCATTGTTTTTATTACTTTGATAACAACAAGAATAGCTCCTTAAGGTTCAGAGGAAAATTTGCAAACAATGGGGGGGAAGCTACACACATTTGTTCTGATTTATGAAAAATTTGTGAAAATGACTGTAACCAAGCAACTCTTTAATTTTGGGCGAACTAATTAAGAAATGAATTAAGGGATTCAATGGATACCCAAATTAGTCATTAGGGCTACGAGATCTAGAGTTCTGGTCTAAATCCAGCTTTGGCACTTGCATCCAAAATAAACATGACCAGATAAGTACCGCAGTTCACAATTAAAATGGATTTCTATGGCTTATGCGTCCACATGGGACAGGCTTCTTCCTAATTGAATTCGGACACCTCTTCAGTTATTGTGGGTTGCCTTTACCATCTTCCTAGTCTATTGTAACTGCTGGCAATAGGATTATGTGGAAGGGAGAAATCACTTCAATCAGTGATGTCTGCAGTCAACGCATACAGAGATAAAAGGAGAGCCTTTGAGCTGTAATTAGGAAATTCCTTCAGTGTGCTCATGTGGCATATGTTTTAGGCTACTACCAACCGGCAAGACCCGTTACGGAAGGGATGTCTAATGTCACTGTTCTAGGATAAGCAGCCAGTAAAAGGAGTGTTCCAACATGCGATTAGAGTAATCTTTTGGAGGCCCAAACATTCCCGCTTTCCACCTCTAATATGATTAGTGACAGACAGCTGGAGGCATCTCATCCTCCTGACAAAAATATGATCAGAATTGTTTTCAATTGGTACATCTTTCCATCAAGCTGTTGCCTTCCAGCAGAATAATCAGAGTTTCTGATTATTTGGTATACGTTCCAAGAAAACAGGAATTGATTGTGCCCTTGCTTGTCTGATGGAGAGAAGGCTGCCAGAATCTACATTGTAACTCTTTAGTTGCCCAACCAAAAGAAAAACTATGCACTGTGAGTGTGTGTGTGTGTGTGTGTGTGTGTGTGTGTGTGTGTGCCTGTGTGGCCATCAGTGTGCATCCACGTGTACGGAGACAGGAAACAAACCAGTTGTTTCCATAACAATTTTCATTGAACAACTAAAAACAAAGTGTTTTCATGGTAATTCAGGTATGAGAAGTACAATATTCTATTCTATTCATGGACAACAACCAACTCCCACCAATGTTAATGATGATTCTTTTCAAAAAGTTAGTCACCTTACTACTAAAGTTACAGACTTACAGAAAAACAATAAAGTTTAGATAAAATGTTAATGGAAATACCCAGAAGGCGATAAAACCTCATTAATTTGGACTACCTGAATTCAAAGTTGTGATCATCTGACAGGGTCTGGACCAAGGATGACCTTTTCACAAGGAATATGTGGCTTGTTGAGCAAATTAACTCCAACAAGACTGTTTGGGGAGGGACGGGAAATAAAAATACTTTGCAAAAAGCATGAATCTAAAACAACAGCACGCTGTCCAGCAAAAACTTCTGACAAACCCATTCGAATATCCGTAACTGGTAACAATAATCATTACCACTATAGAATGCCAACATCTTGTAAGTTTACTTTATATACAATGAGCTTGAAACATCCATTAACTCAGCAAGATGGGTATAATTATCTCCACCTTAGAGAAGAAGAAACTGTGGCTCAGAGGGATGTGACCTCTGAAAACTGCAGTTACTAGGCAGAAATAATAGGAGGCCAAACCAGGCAGTCTGGATCAGAAGACCAGGTTCTTCTACTTCATTCAATGCTGATTGTGCACTGCTGACTCCAAGTTAGACTTCTAGGTTCACAGAAGCACATTGTTCACTAGGAACAATGACAACAGCAGCAAAAATGGCTATATCATTACAAGGAGGGAAAGTCAGGCAGTCTGGCTCCAGAGCCTGCCACTCTTAACCATAGTTGTTTTCTAAATCAGAAACATGCCTATAAAAAGATATATCCCTCTTTTTTTGGCACTTCAAAGTGTTTTGCATGCAGGCATAAGACCCCAAGATATGGTTGAGGCCTCTATAGGTTGTGACAGAGTCACCAGGAGCCAGCTGCAGGTGCAGGGACTACTGTCTATGCAGGAAGAAAGAGGTCATGGAGAAGGGAAGCACCACCTCTACTTACCTGGGTATCCACAGAGATGTTCCTGAAAGCAACCTGGGTCCTGGACTGTTCTAGAAAAAACGGAAATTTGGGAGGTCAGTCAGGTCTCATATCAGCAGCCATGCCATCCATTCCTCATCACAACTACACCCAAGTGCAGGATCTGGAACCAGGTACAGAGGGAACCAGACCTCACCCACAATTTAACAGCTATGTATCCTTGGGTTGGTTGAGAAGCATTTCAGTGTCTCAGTTTACACAACTGTAAAATGGGGATGACAGTACCTTCTTCACAAAGATGCTGACTGGATGATACATAACACTTTCTTTTGGGGAGGGAGGTTTTTGCTATAGAGTGCATGTGCTCACCAGAAAGACAGAGAGAGAGAGAGAGACAGAAAGCGAGAAATCACCTCCCTGAGGGGATGGCCACACCACAATCCCTTTTCCTCCATTCTCCTCTTGGGATCTTGGGCACGCACACACATGTGCCGGCTTGAGGTTAAGCCACCGGGTCTGGGACTAGAACCGCAGTTGCCTACGTAGGAATCCAGCGACATAGCCATTACACCAACTTCTGGTCCCCAGTACTCTGTTGAGCACTGAAATGGGATTCATGTGGTCTAGTTACTGATCCCACAGAGTCAGAAGATGACCTCCGTGAATCAATAGGACAGCAGTGAGGGAGGCACTGGGAAGAATGGGAACAGGGCCTCAGGAATGGGATGCTGTGCTAGGTTTGGAAACCAATTCTCTCGGGGACTTTTCCAAGTCAGATGATCTCTCTAGATTTCATCTTTAAATGAGAAGATTGATCCAGAGGCTCTTAAGCACGAGATTCTAATCTACAACTCTGAATTTCTTTGAATCAGTCTTCTTCTCCCAGCGGTCCACTTTGGAAAGCCTATATTATAACCCTTCATTTATCTAACAGACATTGAACGTATTGTCAAGCACTGTGAATGGTGCCAGGGATAACACCGGACACAGCCTATACTTTGTAGCTAGCTCTATAAGCCTGATGAACTCATATGAAATCTTACAATTAAAGGACAGGACAGAATGTAGCTCTAAAGACAACTGCACAAACCCAGTCTGTCCCAATCTGAACCCTGGGAGTAGTCCCAAAGAATTCTGCAACCATTCAGAAATCTAGGGTCTCAGTGTTGTAGGTACCCGCCAGGCCGAGATGAGTGGGATGCCATGCTCAGCTGATGGGACGGATAAGAAGGTCTGTGAATAATCATGCAGAAACCAGACCACCAGTGAGATGTTCAGGCTGGAAGTTAGGTTTGTTTTCTAGTCATAGTGCTGTATGCAACAAACTGAAGAGATGAGAACCAAGCTGATACTTAACTACTTGATGATCTTGACTTTGGTAAGCACACTGATGGCCACTAAAACAATTAAAGTTTCTTTCTCCATGAGACAGAGAGAAAGACAGAGAGAAAGGCAACCCCAACGAGGTCTTTCATGCCACAATCTAACTCCAGCTTCATTTGGCCCCAGGTCATGGTCACACACATGCCCAGTGTGTTCAGGAAGGTGTCCAAAAATGAACCTGGAACCTTCCCCTGCGAGTCAGCCTTCAGAGCACCGTTGCTGCTGTGCACTGTCCACCCCTAATGGCCAATTCTGATAGTAATTTTTCCTCTCCTTCTGTGTGTGCACACACCTGCCTCTGCAAAAAAACATTCACTGTTTTGCAAAATGCTACTGACTTTATTTAAAGATGACTTTATTACATTTAGATACATTTGCTTTTATGAAAATTCCTTGGAGGGAGATAATTCAGTGAGCCTATTACTTTGGTTAAAAATAAATTGATTTTTTAAAAATGTTTTTCAAACTTTTGACCAAAACAATTTCTGATTTCCTTTATGCACCACCAATGGAAAACATTGCTATGTTGACAAAGGAATAAATAATATGAGTTGTCAAATGAGATAGTAAACACTTACAGATTTAATTTTTAATAGAGACTTTTGAACACACCCCAAAATATCCATCAATCGTTGACATGGGAAAAAACAGCATTTTAGTAAATTCCATCCCCAGCATACTAGACGTCAGCACAAGATATTTATGTTTCTTAGAGGAGATGATGGTGATTTTTACATGCTGGTTAAATATTTGCAAGATATGATTTCAGAAGGCACAATCTGCTCAAACATGTTATGCATTATTTTGACAGGTATTCAGCTAATAGATGGCTATCTTTGTTATGTCTCTACCTAAGCACCTGCACATGGTAGTCTATAGATGATTTAGTCCCAAAACTGTCTCTGAAAGGGATTCCAAAAATGTTTTAAGCAGTGGCAACACGGTTGAGGTATATGCATAAACTTCAAAGATGACAACTTTGAAGAACACTACTCATTTGGATACATAAAGAATAGCTTTCTTAGCTTGGAAAGAAAAAAGTGGAAATTCTAATAGTGATTATCTCCGGTGTAAATGATTATAGGCAATTTTTTTCTTCTTTATAATTTTCTCTGTTTTCCAAACTTTCTATGAGTATGCTTTACTTTACCAATTTGGAAAAAAAAAGGTTTGTTCAATCTCACAATATAGTATAGAAAACAACCTAGTGCAGGAAGCAGCAGATGGTGTAATGGTTATGTTGCTGGACTCCCACGTGGTCAACCATGGTTCGAGTCCCGGGATCTAGCAACTTAAAACTCATACCAGGCGCTTGTGCGTGCATGCCCAAAATCCCGAGAGGAGAATGGAAGAGAAGGGACTGCAGCACGGCCATCCCCCCCTGGGGGGTGATTTCTTGCTTTCTATCTCTCTCTGTCTATTTCCAGCGAGCACATACACCCTATGGCAAAAATCTCTCTAAAAACAAACACACACACAAACAAACAAAAACAGCTTAGTACAGTATTCGCTGACCTAAGCAGAGAGCACAGGGAAGATGAGTTAGGCTTTTCTGATAACAAACAGTACATGGATCTGCTGGTATTTATAAACTGATGCTTCCAACCATTTGTTCATGGAAATACTATAAATTTATTTTTTCAAATTTGCATTTCTCTTTTATAACATACATGGCCAACAAGGTCCTGACATAGGAATCAAAAATAAATTCTTGGAATTTGTGACCGTAAAAACAAGATAAATCACACACAATTCCTCATAAAGAAACTAATTTGGTAATGTTACCCCAAAAATAAAGGACATATTCAATTAATCATGTCTTTATTTCAGAAAAGAGGTATTAAGCATTGAACTCAGGTCATAAGTTTATTTACAAACTTAACTAGTATGCTATCTGTTTAAGAGTTTAATCCATTTTTCAGAGATTGTGACTGCATCTCTTAAAATGTTCTTTATATCTATTAAATGGATGAATTAAAACATCTTTATTTCTTAAGTAGTTGGTGTCTCACTATAAAGGTGCAGCAAATCCAGATCTAAAGCACAAACTCATCATAATGAGTAACCACCACTTGCTTTCCACTGAAAATGGCAGATTCTTCCCCGGGCCTTCCTCATGGTGGCTCCTATGGAGGTCATTAACCTCCGGATGCTCTGTCCCAGCATGGCACTGCTGGGAGCTCTGCAAGACGCGCAGAGTCCAAAGACAGGAGATATGGCCACACTGCAACAACCCCTTCCTTTCTCATGACCTAGTTCTCAATATTGTGAATTTACAACAGGTAACTTTTAGACATCTTCGAACAGTTAAAAGTGGGAAAAGAATAAGTAGAAATGAGCTTTCCGCTACAATTATTGGATTCCTATAGCCAGAGACTCTAGGGCTCACCTGTACCTGCTGCTGTGTGTACCTGTATGAGCTGAGAAACCCTCTAGTTGGGACCTGAGTTCAGAGAAGGGTTAAAAGCGCCCATCTGAGGTCAGAGAAAGAAACCACAGCTATCGTAATCAAGATCTTTTCTACGTTGGCATTCCTTATGATTAAAGTGAGAAAATATATCATGGGATTGCTTAAATGAGGGGTAAGGAACATGATTATAGATTCTCTAGTTTTCCTTTTTTTATGGAAGCTATGTTGATATTTTTATCCTATTCATCCGAAGGTAGTTTAATCAGTTAGGTTTATGATAAAATACATGTACTCAACAGAAAACGGCTATTGGGGATATGTTGCCCTTGGATGTATGATGCTGTACCTTGACTACAGCAAGAAATATTGATTTAACTGGCTTTAATATCAAGTCAGGTATTTGTTGACACGTGGAAATGAAAAATATCAAAACCATGAAAAGCTTGATATATAGGTCAAATCTCATTTCAGCACACTCCAAGGGATTGTCCAAGTCTTCTGCTGTATTGGAATTGTGTTCCACTGATGCTTGCCCAGATCACTGATAACAGGATTTTCATTTTCATGGGATTTGCTACATAATAAATGAATATGGGTATAGATCTTTAGGTAGTACAATTTATTGCAGAAAGTACGGCAGAAAATACAACCATTACATACTTAGCCTTTCCCTTCTCTCAACTCTGGAGGTGCATCTCGCTTTCTAACTAAAACATCCGTCTTTCTTCCTTTTTAAGCCTGATTCCTTTGTTCCTCTCACCGTGCCCAGTGCAGAGTAAACACTTGAGAAGTAGTTGAAGAAACGAGTTGAATGAGCGGGTGCCTTGAAAGGAGGGAAATCCAGAACAGGCTCTTATGTAGAAGGAAAAATACAACTTAGAAATTGATTAAAAATGAGAATAGCAAGCAGGCTTACCAGCTTGCTTGCTCAGAGAGTCCTGGGACCAGTAGGCCCTAGGTTGGCTGCCCACCGTTACGTGGTCACAGAGTCTTGTCTAAACATTTAGCACTTAGCTCACACACTCCCATCTCAGGGAAATTCCTTGGAGACACTTCAATCAATTGCCTAAAACACTTTCATAAGAGTCCTACAGTATAGCTCAAGCAAAAGTGGCCAATAAACAAATCCTGTCCTCCTAAAAGACTGAGAAAAAGGGCCACCCACCATGTCTGTCTGGGAGGCACTACGAGACAGGGAGGTTAGCCCATAGCAGCCCAGGGAAAGGGAGCAAATGCAGCCGAGGGCTGGGATTTATCTCTTGGAGCCAGACCCAGGAC